AAATCACAGCATATTTATGTCTAACCATTTTATCTCATATACTATCAATGATGGAAAGATATTGGCCTCTGTTGAGCTTGAAGTGTATATTTCATAAGAAAGGTTATCAGTCCCAAGACCTAGCTTATCTAGAAAGAATATCCCCATCCCAATCCCATGATAGAATGTGCATACCCTTGGAAGAATCACAATTGACCCAGAAAGTATCTAGGATTGCTAATAATATTATTCAAAATATCATTATCCATCCAAGAGTCGCTTAAGCTGCATCTTGTGGTCCAAATCACTCATCTTGTGGTCATGCTATGTAATAGGGGTAATATTTGTTCCATATCAAATCGAAGTCAATGATTATTCACTAAGATTGCTCCATACTTGTAGATAAATGACTTGTGTCAGTGTGACCAGGTCGAGAAATCTATTCAACCTTAACCTTTATACAGATTGATTACGGAGCATGCATCCGAGTCCACGTTAGGACTTGAGGAGCATCCAAGTCTTTCGTCAACTTAGACCTTTGAAGTGCCCACAGTTACTGTCACAAGGGACGCCGGATTTGTGCTAGTCTCATCAAATGGACCATGGCATCACAATTCGGATTTGTTGCCAATGAGTCACTCAAACCGAATATGGAACAATTGATGTGGCAGATAAAAAACATGAATAACGGAGAGTGACACGAGAGGCAATAAAACACAAAAAGACCTGCACGTTTGGAATCCTTGCGTCTCTTCATATATTATGTCGATGCCCATGCATGGAAACCAATTGGCATTTGTAACGCTTACGTCTCTTCATATCTTTTGTAACGTGCGTCTCCTATATAACATCAATGCCAACATGAGAAAAGATGACCGAGGCAACAAAACACAAAAAGACCTGCACATTTTTTATCCTTACGTCTCTTCATTTCTTACGTCGATGATGAAAGCCAATTGGCATTTGTAATGCTAACGTCTCTTTATATCTTTATTCGGTGGCTATGGAAACCAAATTAATACATTTGTAATCCTTGCGTCGCTTCCCTATCACCACGAAGTTGCTATTTATTTTTGTTAGAACAGATACAGCCGACTTCAATTTTGATAGTATGAACTGTGAGCAGAGATATATGATGATAATATCTTTTCTCTTTCGCGTCGTGTGAAACTTGGTTTAATAGGTAATCTCCACAAAGTGGAGGAGAGTCGTGGCTCGTATTTGTCTTCCTCCTCAACAGACGAAGATGTTGTGTCCTCATAAATTCCAACACAACGCAGCAGGCTCTCCGCCACCTCGCATGTTTAATTAGTCTTCACATAAAATAAGAATGGAGAGTCTGAGTCTGCAATCACTTGTTCCCGGTGATGAGCTGATGGTTCGCAAGTCTGTAAGCTATCGTCCGAACGTTTGGGGCGACTACTTTATCCAGCATGGCCAGTCCGTCACTCCAACATCGGTATGTAACCCGGCTATCCTATTTGCCAAAGATGTTTCCAGTTTTCAGCAAGAAGGTCACCTGGAAAGAGGGGTGTTGATAATTTAGCTCCAGCTAAATAGCACTCATGCTTAAACTGGTCCTTCATCGACATAGTTGTGGTTTCCTGCGGTTTCAGTACCATGAAAAATCTCCCTTTTCTCGTCTATTGCAGGAGTGTGATACAAGGATAAAAGAGAGAGCTGCGGAACTGATGGAGCAGATAAGAAGCATGTCCAAGGATCCTACTGACATCTTGCAAACTATGAATTTGGTCGATTCAATCCAGCTTCTTGGATTGGATTATCACTTCGAGAAGGATAAGTGAAGCTTTACCATGGGTTGGATTGGATCATCACTTCGGCAAGAGTCTTGGACCGAACGGGTTCATCGTCTAATTTTACCATGGGTTCTAGAATGAATTGAAAGTCCTGATTCATTACGTATTATGTAGCTTTCACAATGAATGTTACATTTTACCTAAAACCCACATGTTGCTCATTCCCAAAAATATCAATGCCACCATGATCATAGATTATAGACCCTTCACCCTTTGCAACATCATTTGAAAATAATATCTAAGTTCTAGCCAATAGACTTAAGGAAAGGCTCCTCTCGTTCTCCTAAAGATTAAGTTGGAAAAAAGATTTTGACACATTCTCCTGGGAAGCATCATTCTTACCCTTTGGAAGTTTTCTCCTTCTTTCTCTTACTTCATTAATGGTAAGTTTTCTCTCCTTTTCTTTCTATCTCTTCATCATTATACAACAAATGTTCTCTAGTCTTATTGGATCTTTTATTTCCCGGAGCAAACATACAAAATCAAAGGTATTATTATTATCTCACATCTTATATTTGTCAGTGATGTTTTGCTTGCATTTTTGTTTAGCTCTATATCTTATGCTAATATTACTTCAATTCCTCAACTCTAATATGGGGGAATTGATTCCCAATCCTCTTCTTTTAAAGTTATATCTCACGTGTCTTGAGACTCTTGGAATATGTTTACTCTTATTTCTAATACTGAATAGTAATTTTTTTTAAAAGAAAAAGGGTGGCTGAGAAATTGATTGCACTACAATTAAAGTACATGATACTGTAATAGTGGAAGGATTAGCAATTCTTTTGAAGCCCTAAATATGCTTCAGCTAACATGATCAATTGTGTAAACGGCTATACATACGCATCTGATTCCTAGATAGCAATTCTTGAAGCCCTACATTTTACAGAGCCAGCAGGGCTTGAGCAAGATTTGGATATGCTCTGATTCTGCTGTCTTGACTGATGCTACCCTTCGTACGAGGCTGAAGGTTGTCGAGTTCAGCTTCATGCCCCACGCAACTTAACACTTCTGCTAACAATCATCTTCTTTTTGGTTTTGGGAAGGCTGATGCGACAGCCTTGCCGAGCAGCTGTAACTCTCTTTCTTTAAGTGCTAATTCATTCTCTTTTTCCCAAAATAAAAAAACAAAAAACAAAAACAAAACTGTAGCTATAGCTCACATCCACGTGCAATTGATGGATGACTCATTCGTTATCTTCTTTCTCATAAAACGTGTTACTTACGAAACCAAACCAGATTTAAGCCTATAAATTGCTACACAAGGTTGCAGGCTCTCGCCATCCTCTCATCACTTGCATCCATATCAGAATGGAGAACCTAATTTCGCAGCCACACGTTCCAGGTGATGAAGTGGTGATTCGCAAGTCTGTAAGCTACCATCCCACCGTTTGGGGTGATTACTTTATCTTACAGGCGCAGTCCTCCCCCAGTACACAGGCATGTATATACACATATATCTCACATATGTTCTAAGTTTTAGGCAAGAAACTCTCCGAGAACGAATGGTGTTAATGTTTCATTAACATGAAAAATGTGCGCATGCTACTTTCTTTCGGTTTTGTTGGTTGAACAATTGATTGCTATGCTATGGAGGATGCAGGAGTGCGATGCAAGGATGCAAGAGAGAGCTGCAGAACTGATGGAGCAGGTAAGAAGCATGTTCAAGGACACTACCGACATCTTGCAAACTATGGACTTGGTCGATTCTATCCAGCTTCTTGGATTGAGTTATCACTTCGAGAAAGAAATAAGTGAAGCATTAAACCGAGTCCATGAAGCCGATTTTAACGATCATGGTCTCTACGATACTGCTCTCCGGTTTCGCCTGCTGAGACAACAAGGGTATCATGTGACCCCTGGTAATATGCTCTTACGTTTCCTTGGAGTAGATGTATTTGTATGTTTTATCTATAATTATGTTTGCAAAAGTAATTTAATTTGTATTTTAGAAATGACGGAGGATTTTTGTTTTAAGAAGACAACTTAATCAGCCCACCAAAAAAGAAGTCACTGAACAATCAATCCGATGGCTTCTAACAATATTAGCTGGTTATTTTGCTACATAATTTCTTCTCTGTACATGAGTGACCTCACACTTCTCAAAACGTTTTGATCTCCTATAACAACTATATTAAAAAGATGTACTTTGTTCTATATATATATATATATACATATATATGTATATATATACATATATATATGTGTATATATATGTGTGTATATATATATATATATGCATATATATATATATATATATATATATATATATATATATACATATATATATATATATATATATACATATATATATATATATAAATGTATATTTATATATATGTATATGTATACATACACACACACACACACATATTATATATATATATATATATATATATATATATTCATGGATGATGAAGAGGTG